CGAATATTCTAGTGGTATGTCATAGACACATGTGTAACTCTATGACAGGTCTAAGACAGGCATTTTTTACTTGATTAGGATCACTTCATATATTTATATAGAACTGAACATGTATCTATAATATAATTCCCCATTTGTCTATATGTATTCCGACCCACTCACTAATTTGCACAAAAAGTTTGAGTAGTTGCAATTCTATAATCTATATTTAAATTCTATAATCTATATTCTTTAAAACCTAACCTGTTGCATTAAATACCTTACTTAATAGAAGTGCTGGTCATAAGTTACATACATAAATACAATAATCGCTATTGTTTTTAAAGTAATCTAGGAGCTCCAAAGTCGAGTAATACTGGTGTCTGAGCACATGCTGCGCGACTCGCTCAGACAGGAAGCATAGGCCATGGCGTGCGGTATGTAGTGCTGCTCGAACACCCCAGTGAAGAGGTGGGAGTACGGGCCACTGGCGAAGACGGCGACGTCGTCCCCGCCGTGTGTCTCGGACTCCAGTGGCACGGCGGTAGGGAACATAAAGTCCTTGTTCTTCATGTTGAGCGAGCGCAGGTTCTTGCGCTTGACAGCACCGTCATCTTCCTTCAGGAAGTTGCTGTTGTAGCCGGGGCCATTGGCGTAGCTCAGCGTGGCATAGGGCAAGTCGTCCGCAGCCAACTGGCCATCGTTGATGCCGAATATGTCGTTCTTGCGACTGGAGTAGCCCGCCAGCGACATGGTGTGCGAGTGGTCCGAGGTGACCACAATCAGAGTATCATCCACGCTGCTGTGCGTGCGCGCCCAATGCACCGCCTTGTCGAACTCCGCCGTCTCGTCGATGGCGCGCAGTGCCAACGTGTTGTGGTGGCCGTGGTCGATGCGTCCGCCTTCCACGAACAGGAAGTAGCCTCGACCGGCGCTCTGTCGCTCCAGTATGGCCAGCGCTGCCTGCACCATCTCCTCCAATGTTGGCTGATCCACGGCATCGGCGTCCAGATGATACGGCATGTGGTAGGGGGCGAACAGGCCAAGCACTCGCGATGTCTGGTTGTTCAGCTCCAGTAGTTGGCGACGCGTGTGCACGTAGTGGGCGCTGTTGGTGTGTTGCCGCTGCCATTCCTCGATCAGATTGCGGCCATCTTTGCGCTTGCCGAAGACGCCGCTTGGATCTATCACGTGCTCAGGTAGAAAGTTTTGCCTGCCGCCGCCCAAGATCACGTTCAGATTTCGTCCCACGTCCCCGTTGATCAGCTGTGACGCAATGTCCGTACAAATTGTGGGATCAGCATTATCCGCCTTGACATCAGCATCGTTCTCCCAGTCTCGATGGGCGGCATGGGCGTAGACACCTGCGGGGGAGGCATGACTCACGGATGTCGTTGTGATGAGGCCAGTGGCCATGCCCTGTCGCTGTGCCCAGGCAGCGATGGATGCGACACGACTCTCAGGCTGCACTTGGGCCTGGCAATCCTTCAAGCGGACAGCAGCCGTAACGCCCACGGTGCCATAGTTGGCTTTGACGCCGCCCAGGTAAGCGGTTGCCGTGCACGCCGAGTCGGCCACCTGCATGTTGGCGCAGTAGGTCTTACTGAGGCCCACATACGGGAACTGCTCGAAGGAGAACTGCTTCTCCTCGCCACCCAGATAGACCCTACCGGCGGTGATGGTTGGTATGGACATGCCGTCGCCCAAGAACAGCATCACGTTCTTGGCCAGCTGCGTGTTGGGCCTCATTTTGCTCTCCAGCTGCTGCTCCAGCGTCTGGTGGGCGATGCTGCGCCAGTAGTCGGCGTACTGCTCCACCCTTTGCGATGCGAACGCCATCTCGGGCATGTACCCGCGCTTGAAGCGCGTTGCCTGCTGAGGGGCTGCTGCTCCGCCATACACCGGATGCATGTGCCGCTCAGCATCACGTGTCGGTAGCGCTGGATGTGGGGGATCGACTGTCAGTTTCCGTGTTTTGGAGCTTAGCAAACTTTGGACTTACCGTAGCAGCCAGCTAAAGCGAAGAGCCCACCCAGTGCGAATAATTGCAAGATCATCCTGAACAGTTGTTTGCTTGTGAGTTGTGGTTTGCCTGTACCTTGCCGGGCACGTTTCGAACAGAACTGATAGCGAGTCTCACGAGACCGGCTTTATTTATAGTCGAGCACGGTTCCATAACAGGTCATCGTCGCTTGATAAACAAAAATCAATGTATGGCAATCGAAGCCGCTGACGCTGACGCTG